GAATATCTGACTCACTGAGTTAAACTCTCAAGGTGTTATCTATTTTTTATGGGTTGTGCACGTGTTGAAGAGTGCAACATTTCCAAACATCCTTAGCATTTTCAGGCTTTTATTTTACAACTGAGGATACAAAAGAGAGGAATGACTTGAATATATTTAAGCTATTAAGAATAATCAGATATTGTATTAAGATGAGAAATATGCATACAGGTAGGTTAAAAATGGCGCCATATCTTACGGCACTGGGCAACAGGAAAACTGGATTCTATCTAGGCAATCTGCCTGGTGTCTACAGCTCTTAATTTTTAAATAATAGCACAAGCAGTTAGCCAGAACTCAGTTTGACCTACACAATTCATCAAACACTCACTCAGTGACCAAGGAAGGTCTCTGGGAAGGCCCCAGAGAACATCTAGCCCAACTATGCCAACTCCTAGTATGGCCACCTTAAGCAGGCTGCTCAGGCCTGTGTCCAGATGAGTTTTGACTCTCTTCAAGGACATGGATTCTACCTCTCTCAGCAAACTGTGGCAGTGATTGGCCACCCCCACAGGTGAAAAGCTTTTCCTTATCTTTAAATGGAATTTCCTGTTTCAGTTTGCCCCTTGCCCTGGGGACCATTGAGCATCATATGGACCCATCCTTTTGATACCCTCTCATCAAGTGTTTGTGCACAGACAAGATCTCCCAAGACATTTCTCAAGGCTACACAATTCCGCCTGCAATCTCTTGAACTTCGTGGCCTTGGATTTTCTCCACTATCTTCATGTCTTTCTTTCTGTGGGGAGCCACGAACTGTACACAGCACCTAAGATGTGGTCTAACCTGGGCTGAACAGAGCAGAAGGCACACTTCCCTTGTGCTGCTGAACAATGCTCTTCCTAACATAGCCCAAGACACTGCTGGCCTTTCATGCTGCTGGACGCACTTCTGGTTCATGGACAATTTCATGTCCATGAGGACCCTTAAGCCCCTCTATGCGAAGTCGCTTTCCAACTAGTCAACCTCCAGTCTGTATATAGTGCTCTACAGGGTTATTTGGTAGTGTGGTGTGGTGGTGGTGTGGGACTTTATGAGATTACCACCTACACATTTTACAGCATGTCACTGCCCCTCTTGCATGGGACCACAAGTATTTGTTTTGTTAACCACTCCTCCTGACTGAGTATCATCTCGAAGCTTGCTGAGGATGTACTCTGCCCCACCATCCAAGTCATTAATGGCCAGTTCTAGTCTCAGTATCAAACTTCAAAATAATCCACTAATAATGGGGCTGCATCTGGACTTTGTGTTGCTGATAACACTACTTTAAATCCAGGAGATCAGACTGTTTTCAATCACCTCACTGCTCATTTACCTAGTCCATTTTGCATCAGCCTGTATACTGAGGATGTTACGGAAGAAAACAGTGAAGGCATTGCTGAAATCAAGATAAACAACATATACTGCTTTCCTCTAATCCCTAATCCAGTGAATTCCTGAAGTCTGGGGTCATGATCCTGCTACTTGATTTCCTTTGTTCCCTTCTCTCAAGATCCTGGACTCCAACATCCCATGGTCTCTACAGACTAGGCAAAGCTCCACATACCCTTGCTGCTGTGTGACATAAAAGGCCAAATCTGCTCCCTGCTGTCCTGACCTGTCCTTTCTAAATCCTGCCCACATCTCCCCACTGTGGCATTCAGCTGTGTGAGCTATCCTTCCACATCTTTGTGACCCCAAGGAGGCTGTGGCCCTGCACGTGCACACCAGGGCTCTAATGCCTTTTCTTTGTCCTGTATGGATGTGATTCAGAGCACCCAGTCAGGCTCATTTTAATGAAGAACTCTGAGAACTTCTTGAATACTGTTCATGGGTAATGTTTAAAATACTGTGGCAAATAAACTGAAGAGACAAAAGGCTTTACAAAATGTTAATTTGGTGAATATCACATTGTGAAGTTCCTCTTTGTAGCACTTTTAACGTTGTCATGCTTAATTAATACTGATTAATTGAACCACTTCTTCTTTTCCCTAATATAGAATTAAACAACCAACTTTTAAAAGAGTTCTAGGTGCCTGTACTTTCTGTGGGTTTTGGTTAAGCTTTCAAATCAGTCTTGCTTTGTTTTCTGACATACTGATGCGGAGGATGCTGTAAATGTAAGTAAGCTGCCCTTTCTAGATGCACATCAGTTAATTTGTCTCCTCTCTCTATCAAAGAAGAGTGAACAGGAAGGCCACAATGTTACATGTGAAATGCTTTCAGGGATGTAGCACATATTTAAAAAGTGCTTATCCCCATTATGGTATTCACTTTGGTTGTTATCTGAGCCTAACACTTCTCTTACGAAAGCTAAACTAAGTCAGATATGAGCAAGTTCAAATTTTAATATGGAATCTGGATAAATTCAACTTTCCAGTAATGGCAACAGCTTTTCAAAACGAAATCTTTTACAAATCTTTTCGCAAAGAAACATGAGGTGAGACATTTTTGACATCCTAGAAAATTACTTCTAACTTCTGTTAGAAAGACTCCTTAAACAGCTTACATATTCCAAAAACTTTTAAAGATACATGACAGAGCTAAATATTCTCTGTCCTTGGGAAACATTTTCATTATGGGCCCAGTCCAAAGAGGGTATTGCATGAAAGAAGTCCAAATCTCAGTGGGACAGCTTGTTTTCTAGCTTCTTCAAAGTGAACATACAGAAACTGCTTGTAGTTCACAAGAGAAACTTTAAAGGCAAAAAGAAAACTACCTGTTGACACACAGCCAACCAACTGTTGCTGTTAAGGGTGCTTTCCTCCCTTCGTTCTCCCTCCTGAATGGAAAAGCTTCAAGAGTGTCCCTAATTGTAACGGAGACTCATCCTAATGACTTCATCAGGATTTTCAGGTGAAATTCTGTTTCCAGCTAAGACACTGAAGTCTAATCACTGACATAAAAGCACAATGGATACTTGAACTTTTTTGCAGAATTTTTCTGCCTTTTTTTGTCAGAGAAACTGAAGTGCTTAAGAAAGAATTTAATGTTTCTTATTTTTTCTATTGTCAAGTCATAATATCAAATTTGTCACTGTAAAATAGCAGTTCAACCCCGCATCAGAGTCCTTATTAAGCACAAACACTTCTATGCACCTTCAAATGCAACCTTGTAGAATAAACACACATTTATCTTCAAATGATACATTTTAAAAGCTCCCTTAGAATCAGAACCTATATACTTGTTCCTTTTTCGAAGATGCTCTCAGGACTGAGATCCATTAGGTACCTGAGGTCATTTACAGTTTACATGTGTTTCTTCAGTGAGAATTTTAAAATCTGGCATGCTACTCCTTTAAGTTCTGGGATATTTTTGTGGTTGGCATAGTTGTTTTCATGTTCCTTTGGAATGAATGCATGACTACACAGGTATTTTAAAAATAACATAACATTATGTTATTTTATGTTACTATATTATGTTCTATTAACGTTTATGGTACTATATTATGATCTATTGCTGAACAAACTCTTGCAAGTTTGTTGCTCTGGTGCTCAATATTCATGTAGTTCATAGTTGCAGCAACTGTGTTAGTCCTTTCATGCTTGCTATTTTTCTATTAGTCTAATTGAATTAGCTAAGCAACCACCTATCTCTCATTAACCTCTTCTAGAACAAAATTCTGGCTAATAGCAGGCAACTTAAAGAAGCAACTTAATGTTGCCTTAATGTTGCTGCACAACTCTATATTACTCTTAAAGCAGATAGGTAGCCTTTTGCATGTTTGCTGCAAGCAGAAACAGCATGGAGACTCATATTACTGCCTTGCTTTGCTTCTGGAAGTACTGTAGGATGCAGTTAACTAATTTTGGCTAGTTAATCTAACTATCCATCTTCCTTGTACAGAATTTTGTGGCATATGCCAAAAGAATCCGGGTTTTTTAACTGCTAATGCTCAATCTCTCCTAAAAATTCACCAAAATTATATAAGTTGAAAGATAATTAAAAGGAACTGAGAAATCATCCCAAATTTGTTGTATTCTGCATTAAAAATCAAAGCTGTTATAAAAACAGATCTTGCATGGTCATTAAACATCAGCATTTAACTTTCAGAAGTGAAATTAGTATAGCATTATATAATTATATAATATGAAGGCATTTTGTCGAAGGAATAGCAGGAATCTGGGAAAGCCATATTCTTCATGTTACACTCCATTGCACTGCTACTGAGATGTGAGTCAATCTGGATAGATTTCTTGGTGGGGCCCAATTTTTTTTCAGCAAGAACAGGGTAATTGATACTGACTGCCTTAGTAATCTGGAAAATATAACTGTGTCCAGTTCAGCTCTCCTGAAAGCAGAGCAGTTTTCATGGATGGAGGTAGAATGGCTGAAAAGAAATGTGCCTCTTTTTTTTTCCCTCTTCCCAAATGTCAGATCTTTGGCTCTCAGCACCCATCACCTCCGTGCCGCTGGCTGCTCTGTACTGTGCCAGCTGTGCCTTCCATTGCACCAGCTCTTTGCCCTGCTTCCTCACCTCTCCAATTTTTTTCACAGAGAATAACTTCAGATCTCTTTCCCCCTGCTGCCCAGAATCACAGAACAGGTAAGGTTAGAGGGGACCACAGGGGGTCATCTGAACTTCCCCGTTCAAGCAGGATCATCCTTGAGCACATTCCACAGGATTGTGTCCAGTCAGTTCTTGAGTATCTCCAGTGAAGGAGACCCCACAACCTCTAAATAATCTGTGAATGGTCACCATCAGTTTGTGCCCATTACCTCTTGTCCTATTGCTCAGCAGCACTGAGATGAGCCTGGCTCCATCCTCTGACACCCTCCCTTCACATATTTATACACATGAATATGGTCCCCTCTTAGCCATCTCTTCTCGACATTGAACAGGCCCAACTCCCTCAGCCTGTCTTCACAAGAGAAATGCTCCCAAGGCCCTAATCATCGCCCTAGCCCTGTGCTGGACCCAACCCAGGAGCTCCAAGCCTCTCTTCTCCTGAGGAGCCCAAAACCTGACACAACATTACCGGGCAGAAGTGGCCCAGGCCCGCCGCATAGCTCCCACCGCATCCCGCGCCGCTCTGACAGGAAACCTCGCGATATTTCCCGGCTGCCCGCCGGCGCCTGTAAGCATGGAGAACCATGGCAACGCACTTCTCGCGATACCGACAGGGTCTCTGCCGGTGCCTGTTCCGGGCCGGGCGAGGCCGGTACGCGGCCCCGGCCGCGGTCTCAGCTCTCCTCGGCTGCGGCTCTTCCGGGGCCGGCCGCGGTGCCGAGAGCGGGGACAGCCAAGGGGCCCTTCCCTCAGGCGCCCGGGGGGTTCCCTCGGCGCCCGCCCTAACGTGACCCTCTCGGCGGAGGGGCGGCGGTGGGTCCCCAGCGAGCCGGTGCCGTCGGGCCCCGGTGCCTCTGCCCGCGGGCCCCGTCGGGCTTTGCACAGCCAAAAATTAAAATGTGTGATGATGGTCTCCCAGGTAAGCGACTTCTGTGTGTCTTGCTCTACAATATCCTCGAATTTTGTTGTTACAGTCGTTTATTGGAGTATAAAATAAAAAAACAAAGCAGGAAAACAGAACCTTACACTCATACATTAAGTGGTCAGCCCTCAATAGTTAGAAGGCATTCGACTTAATTTCATAGAGGACTAGTGGTTGAAAAGACCTAGTGCGTGACAGGAGTCCATTACCACCATGATTTAGTACAGTCAGTGTTCACAGTGGCACATTTTTCCCACCTGTAATAAAAGGGGTAAGTACTGGCAAGCATCTTAAATACCAGCTTTCATCATTGGTGGCAAGTGTACTGTACCCATGCTAGGAAGCCATACGAGATATTTTTCTTTGTTTTTAAAGATTTATGCTTCACATAAGTTATGGTTCTAATTCAAAAGCCAAGGACTTGCTGACTCAGGATAGTTAAAGTAAGTAGTTCATGCTTTGGCTTTAATAGCATTATTTTTTTGCCTTTTGTAGCAGTGGAGTCCATTTTACCATTTTATGTCTTAGCCTTTTTGTCATACTGTTCCCTGCTTCTCCCTAGTTTTGGAGCTTAGCAATACTAGAGCTACCGTTCAGTATAATTTATTCCACTTTGCACCTGAACTCTAGCTGTGATGAGACATATGCAACTCCTTAGCCTCAAGTAAATGCTTTGTTAAAAGCAAAAACTGTCTTAAATCATGGTTTTAACTTGAGAGTCTCTAAACATGTTACATGTCCCTTCACTACTGTAAAAAAAAAAAAGCAATTACAATGCTATTTTAAAGTTTAATTTGCATATTTAACAGTGTGCTGTACATAGCTGGTTTCGGTTTTTCAATTTTTGTTCCTGTTCTCATGAAATTGCAGAAAGAATGAGGGGCTATTGGGAGAAGTTAATGTACGCATCTTTTTGCATTGAGATGAGAGATGTGTAGTAATGCCATGAAATTTAAAGATTAGTTGTGTAGGATTTGTTGAACGTACAGCCTGTACTTCACCCTTTGCCTCAAAAAGTTACTTTTTTGCATTGAGTCTTTGAGAAGAACTGAGGGAATGGCTGAAGGTCTTCTAAAAGCTTATGTAGCAGGTCACAAGGTATAGGGCTAAACTCCAAATAAGGATGATGGGGGTATTATTAAAGAGATCTGCAAAATGGTGAACTCAATGGAGAGGCTGTGGTTTTTGACCTTGTTAGTGTAAGAACTAGTGGGCCATCAGTTTAGGTCTTTGGATCAAAGTTCATATCAGGCAAAAGTGTGACATGAATCCAGAGCAGATCAACAATATTTTTAGTCAGAAGTCACCAAATTCTAGCAATCTGCATGCATTGAAAAAGGAGTGGAGCTGCTTGGAAGAAAGCAGTCTGCTGGGGTTTGCTAAACAGACAAACCACTTGTGACCCATGAAATCTCTGACTAAAAGAATATTTTAGAGGCCAAAGAATTTCAGAATAGGGGTGTTCTGTAGGCTTGTACAATTTTATTGTTACCTGCACATCAGCTTAGAGCCAATGCTGGCTGCAGAATAATGGGCTTGGCTACAAGGATGCTTTTGTTTTCCCTAAGTGTGTATATTAAATCTATTTAATAAATGAGCTGTGGTTACCATTGATGTAACTAATACATTTTGAATAGTAGTCCTGTAAGCATATGCTTTCGGGTGCTTAGAACTTGGTGAGGAGAACTAGTCTTCTTTCAGTTTTTACACAGTGACATTAAAATGGTGGAGGTGGGGTTTCTTGCCTTCAGAACTTTTTTCCTTACGTGTGAAAAATGTCTGAGTTGATGTCTCCAGGAACATGTACTACCAGTGGTCATAGAATGATGAATACTTGCTCTGGTGCAAGATTCTCTCTGGCTCACTCCTTCCTGTAAAAAAGGTGCCTCTCACGGTAGTTGATAATGACACTCTTGCAACAATCAAAACTTATTCTGGCAAATAGATAAGAAACAATAAAGGTTCTCAAATGAATTAAGTCATCCCTTTGTTTTGGGATGACTTAGAAGAACAAGATTAGAAATTGTTTCTGCAAACTCAGAAGAAAACCCCTTTTTCTCTCAGTTCAGATTTGGAAAACCTTGTGCATGGCCATTATTTGCAAGGTCTTTTTACTGTAAAGAGGGAAGACCTTTTTTTTTCTAGTGGAGGTATTTTGTTTTGTTTTTCCTTGTCAGGATAATGTGGGGACTTTCTACTTTGATACATACTGCTGTGTTTGTCTGTGTGAAGCCACTGTGTAAACTTAATGCATTGGACTCTGGATATTGCTTTTCTTTCCTATACACCTTCTGTTATTTTTATAAATAACAAAATAGAAAATAAAAATATTTTATAAAAATATCAAACTATATGTCTAGCTCAGGCTTTGGTTGTAAACAGTAATTGCTATTTTAATTCTAGTGCTAACTTCAATAAAGTGTTTTATACGAAGTTGTATGCATTTTATCACCTAAATTTACATCCATTGTTTTAATACTGGAAAAATGAAATACTTCGTATATCCAGCCAGTTTATCACTATGTGTGTTTGGTTTTTTTATAGACAATTGGCGTATTGGGGAGAAATGCCTTGCTCCTGGTTTTGAAAATGGAAAACTTCATGAAGGAACAATAACTTCTCTTGAAAAGGACAAGAATGGAAAATCATTTGCTGTTGTATCATTCTTGGAGTCTGAAGAAAGGAAAGTACTAATAACAAAACTTTGTAAAGTCAAAGACAGTAGAGGACCCTGGAAAAGCTTAATATTTGATGAGGGTGATCTGGAAAAGCCTTATTTTCCTGACCGAAATCTTCCATCTCCTGCGGTTGCGTTTAAATTGTCTGACAATGGCGATTTTATCCCATATACAATTAACAGATACCTGCGTGATTATCAAAGGGAAGGAGCCCAGTTTTTGTATAGACACTATGCTAACAAAAGAGGGTGTATTCTTGGAGATGATATGGGCCTTGGAAAGACAATACAGGTATTATTTTTGTTTGTTACAGTGGGAGAATATCATATTTTCTGGGATCTGTAAATATTTTTTTAGAAAGCATTGTATTTATGACGTTTAAACATCCCTCTGCAGTTGGAGAGATGGATGGAGCAGGACATGATGTCCAGGACAGCACTCAGAGCCAGGAGCCTGTTGCTGATTTAAGACTTGCTCCTGACAGGCCATAAAACTGGGATTTGGCTCCTTTTAGTATAAGCATGAGTAATTACAATAGTTAAAATGTTAGTGTGTTGAATTTACTTTGAGGGTTGCTACCTGCCCATCATGAAAGCAATTTGCCGTGGAGTGTACAGTGTACACTAAAAGAACTCTTGAGGCTCTTATCTGACTTGTGCTTTTAAAATACCTTTCTCCTGTTTTTCCTGAAAACAAATAGTTTCACTCTTCTGGGAATGCAAAAGAGCCAACCCTTTTACTCCTGTCTCTGGAAATAGTGCTTTGGTATATCACGCAACTTGAATCACTTTCTTAGAAATGCAGCTTGCTTGATGAGAGGACAAAGTGTAACTGGATTTTTTTCCTTACGCTTTGAATCTGTGTGACCTAAATTGCTTACTTTTTGCTTACCTTTTTTTGCTTACTTTTTTTACTCATTTTACTGTAACTAAGGTGTTTTTATGTGTGGAAATTCTCTATGGTCTATCTGATATCAATTTAGCAGCTTGAGTTCTGTGGGGGATAGTCTGTCCCATTCTCTTCTCTATCGCTCCATGTGTCCAATGCAAGCTCATTCCTTCACTGGCCGTTATTGGTACCTATTGCCCTTCCATTTAGGAGAATGTTGACAGATGCCTTTCAATGCAAAAGGTGTTGTCCTGTACCAAACTTAATAGGAGAGAGTAAACTAAAGTGTCAAAACTCTGCATAGAGAATTTAGAGGTGTATCATGGGTTGGTATATATAGTTGATGATGATCTGTTAACAGATGCTTATTAAAACAAAACTGCATTCATTTGAAGTATGGCCACGTTTCTTGTCCATGGTAGTTGAAGAACTGAGTAGTTATGGAAGACTGTTTTTACTCAGAACTGCAAGTAATCTGATTTCACATACTAAGAAATACCTCTATCTATCTATCTATCTATCTATCTATCTATCTATCTATCTATCTATCTATCTATCTATCGGTGAGAGATAATAGTAAACTTGGGGGGCAGGAACTAAATTTAGTTGTCTTGATTGCATCTTGTATTTTTTGAATCTCAGAGCTGATTCTCTAGGCACATTTATCACACAGTGACAGTATGTTCCTATGAGGAATTCACATCTGATGCCTATTTTTTTTAATCTGTGTCAGGTTTTCAGAAGGTAGAGATTTCAAAGAATATCTTACGTGAAGAATATCATATGTTACGAATAACAAGAAGGGATTCTATAAGTACATAGGTCAGAAAAGAAAGGTTGAGGAGACTTATCTGAGGCAGCGAGCAAACTTGTGTTTGACCAGTCTGGTGACCTTATATGATGTAATGATGGTAATGGTCAATATGGGAAGATGGACAGATGTCTCTGCTTCTGTTGGGCCTTTGATATGGTTCCATATGACATCCATACCTCCAGACTGGAGATGGGTGGATTTGATGGATGGAGAGTACAATGGATAAGGAGTTGGCTGTCTGGCTGGATACAGCCAGAGAGTTGTGGTCAAGGTCTTGGTGTTGAGGTGGAGACTGGTGATGAGTGATGTCTCTCAGGCTCTGTTTTGGGACCACCACTGCTCTGCAATGTTTGCCTCAATGACACAGACCGTGGGGTCCTGTGCACTCTCAGCGAGTTTGCAAATGACACAAATCTGAGCAGTGCAGTTGACTCAACAGAAGGATGGGATGCCATCCAAAGGGACCTGGACAAGCTTGAGAATTGGGCCCATGAGAACCTTACGAAATTCAACAAGTCCAAGTGCAAGATGCTGCATCTGGGCTGGGACATTCCCAGACATGAACACAAACTGGGAGAAGTTGCAGAGAGCAGCCCTGAGAAGAGGGACTTGGGGGTTCTTGTGGATGAAGAGCTGGACACGAGCCAGCAGTGTATGCTTGCAGCATGTCCAGCAGGTCAAGGGAGGTGATTCTGCCCCTCTGCTCCACTCTTCTGAGACCCCACTTGGAACACGGCATCCAGCTCTGGGGTTCCCAGCACAGGAGGGATGTAGACCTGTGACAGTAGGTCCAGGGGAAGCCACGAGGTATTCTGAGGGGTTGAACACCTCTCCTATGAAGACAGGTGGAGAGATTTGGGGCAGTTCTGCCTGGTGAAGAGAAGACTCTTTGGGGATGTCATTGCAGCCTTCCAGTAACCTTTGTGTTTAAGGCCAGGTTGGATGAAGGCCTGAGCAATCTGATCTAGTGAATGGAGTTCTTGCCCATTGCAGGGATTGGAACTAGGTGATCTTTAAGGTTCCTTCCAACCCTTATCATTTTGTGATTCTGTGATCTTGTGTATTTTTTATAAAACACAGTGTTTATGTTCAAGTTGAGTATGGGAAAGGCAGTTCAGTGGATATGAAGTGGTAGAATTTGCTTGTTTAGAAAAGGTTAGTACATATGAAAAAAGAAATTTAAACTTCATTGAATAACTGATATAGTCTTAGAAAAAAGTTGTCTTATGCTTGTCAGTTGGCTGAAGCTTACTGTTTCTGAATTAGAGGATGATTCATGAGATAAAAACTTCACTAGAAATCCTTTGAATTTTAATGTTCTTTGTACTTCTGGACTGATTTTTGCTTTAAATGTCCTGACCACATGGTTCTTTCATATCAAACTGAAGTTTAAGTGAAGGCAAATAGAATAATGTTGTTTCTCAGTGTGATTAAAATAATCTAGTTTGCTATCAAGGCATTTTAGTTGCTTCTTGCTTTATCTGGAAGAGCCAAAGATTTCTGATGAGTTTCTGTTTCACTGCCTTTGCTACTCTTAGAAATTTGTGATGCAAATTTTTCCGAGAGTGGAGAATGTGGAAAAGGCATGAAGATTTATTGTTCAGTTGAATTTGATTATAATTCTCATAGGATTAAAAAAAAAAAAATAGTAAAAGTCATTACTTAAACAACATGTGCAAACTGGCAGTTCATTTCAATCTCAGTTCATGAGATATTATGTATAAAAATGTTCAGGTTAAGTTTTATTCTACATGCCTTTCTTTCACTCTGTGGCCATACATATGATGGATTTCTTCTCTCTTCTCTCCATCTAACTATTCTTTCCAGGCAGGTGTCTTTTCTGTGCTCTCCTCTCCTGACACGCTCTTTCTCCCCATCATTAGAGGGAGAGAGTTGTTTTTTTGGAAATCAACAGTTGATAGCTTTACCTCTGTCCTGCTATAAGCAGCTGTGTAGCAGCTGCAAAAGGAAGCGGCTGGAGCTGGCTTCTCTGAATAAAAGGGACCTGTTGAGTTTGCAAAAGAAGGGTACCTCTCTGATGATGCATCTGGTCCTTGCTAGTGTTTAGTTCACAGATACCATTTATCCCTAATGGATTTTGGATTTGCATGTTCTGGCCAGATCTTTCTCTGCCTTCTTCCTGTTTTGGATTATGATAGAAGCAGTTTGGAATAGCCTGTGCTGGGATGTTTGTCCTTGCTGTGATGTATTGTAATAAATATGTTCTCATAATCACCTTGAGTGGTTTGAGGCAGATGGGAGAAAATAGCACAACAGAAAAAAAATATTTTGATGTTACCAACAGGACTTTGAAGGAATGGAACACACAAAAAATGACATATTAGTAAAAAAACAAACCTCTAGGATAGGCCTCTTCTTCCTTCCGCAGAAATAACCTTGAGAGGATAGTTAGAGGATATCTGTTCCTTCTGTTTTCGCATCTGAAATTTAAGTACCCTGAATAGGAGGAGAGTTGCAAGACAAGCCTCATCTCTGTTTTTTCCTGGCTCATTCATATTCTGTCTCTTGTGTATTTTTGTGACTATTCCAAATAAAGAATAAAATAGTGAGATAGAGCAATTAATTGCTCCTATCATTACTTCAAGGAATTCTTTGGAATCCAAGGGAGGGAGAGATCCCATTTTAAAACCAGATTTATTTAAAACCAACCAACACCCCCTGTCTGCATCCCACACCAAAATGGTGAAAAAAAAATCTTCCCACACCAAACCAAACCACCTTCTGAAGTCCTGTCCAGGGTTCTGTCCTAAATGTTTATTTTTTGTGGAATTAATTCAATTTCTTACTGTACATAGTCACTGAGAATTGTTTTCTTTCTCAAGGTCATTTCATTTTTGGCTGCAGTGTTGCACAAAAAGGGAACACATGAGGATATTGAAAATAATATGCCGGAATTTTTACTGAGGACAATGAAAAAGAGCTCAGATTGCAACCCCAAGAAGGTACAACTTTTAGTGATACTAGCTTAAGGATGAAAGCTTATGATGAAAGTCAATCCTTAGATATTTTTGGTTGGTTGTTTGTTTGTTCTAGGAGTTTATGTACATTAAGTTTTAAAATTAAAATTAATTTAAAATTAAAATACAGTTGCTGAAGTACATCCTGTAGGATTTCATGCCTTTCCTAGCAGTGTTTTGGAAGTCTTCAGTTTTCTTTTTTTTTTTTTTGTCTAATCTGTTATTACTGTTCATCTGCGCTATCAGAAAACATTTGGAGGTATCTGGGTTAGACTTGTGGCTAGAGTAAAAGCCCATGTCAGTGAGTAGAAAATTAGTGTTGGGTGATATTTTTAAATTAAAAAAAAAGCATATATATCTGTAATAACAGCATATTTAATTATGAGAAATCCATATATTTGGAAAACGTATTTCTAGTTGCCTTATGGTATCCTGTATATTCTTGATTGGCTGTCGTAATGTTGGAAATAAGTCTGCCTGATAATCGAGGTAGTCAAATACAGTGTCAGCAAATAAAATACACTTGTAGAAGTTTTGTGTGAATAAGATAAATATGAAGATCATTTTAATTTTACCCGTTACAGAAACCATGTGGTTTCTGTTTTTCATTGTTATTTTTATTTTGCTGGAATAGTTACAGAATTTGACTGGCGTGATGGGTCATATGACTGTAGCTTTGTGCATAATGGATACATGCTCCTCAGGAAATACAGGCTGAGGGGAAGGGGTAAAGTGATAGCAGTTCATGTGCAAAGAAACAGGAATGCTTCTGACTAAGAATAAGAGGAGAATGTCACTTTGAGGGCATTTAGTGTTGAAACAGGACACAGAGAGTTGTAGACTCCATCCACCCTTATGGGGTTTTGAAGGCCACAATTGGGAAAACCTGGGTCTGAAGTAAGTATTGCCCTTGCTTTGACTGTAAAGTTGTACTGAAAATGTCTCAAGGTCACTTCCTACTTCACTGATTTTATTATCCTGTCATATTAAATGAATTGTAAGAGCTGTCCTAATTTGTTTAACCCTTTTCAGGACTATCTGTTTTCAAGTCACATGGTGACTAGACTTGTGGATTTGAGGAAGCTGCTTACCCTCTTCATCCTTCTATTTTCTCCATTTGTAAAACATTTTATGGTATACAGATGCTATAACAAAGCAAAGTGATAGCATTTCACATCTTACCGCAGTTGTTAGAGTATAATTTGAGTAAGTAGTGCTTTTTAGTATTTAATTTTAGTATTACAGTATTTTTCTGCTGTATGATATACACACTCAGAGTAAACTGATTACTTTTGAATTTATATTAACTTTAGATATTTTCCATACATCCTTTGAAATTACAGAATTAAACAGTCAAACTGCTCAGAGCAGTAAAACGGTCAAGATCTTGACTTCTGTTATTAAGAAATTGCTATGTTGTAGTTTTTCAAATGATACCATAATGTTGAAAATATAGTATGTTTTCAAGTGATTCTATAATATTATTTATTGTCAGACTTTCCTCATAGTGGCCCCTCTTTCAGTGCTGTACAATTGGAAGGATGAATTAGACACATGGGGATACTTTAAGGTCTCTGTCTTACATGGCAGTAAAAAAGACGATGACATGAGTCGCATCAAGCAAGGTAAATGTGAAGTTGCTCTTACAACATATGAGATACTTCGCCTGTATTTGGATGAATTTAACAGGTAATGGCTTTAATGTGTTTTTGTACACACTGAATTTTAACTGTCTAATTGTGTGTTGTTCTTTCAAAGGACTTTTTTTCTGTATATTTACTGTTAAATCCATCGACTCACTGTGGTTCAGAGAAGAATCCCTGAACTATTGAATTTTTCATGTGCTACCGAATTTAACCTGTACAGTTCTGGTAGGTTGACCTTGGCTGGACACCAGGTTTCCACCAAGCCACGCTCAGTCCCCTTCCCAGCTGGACAGGGAAGAGAAATTAAGATAAACAGCTCTTTAGTTGAGATAAGGCAGTTTACTAAAGCAGAAACAGAAATTCAGGCACACAAAGAGGGGGGAAAAAAAGTAGATTTTTCTGCTTCCCATCAGCTAGCAGTGCTGAGCCACTTCCTGGGAAGCAGGGCTTCAGCACTGGAAGGCAAATATTGTAAATATCAAGTGCCCCATTCCTCCCCCTTTCCCTAGCATTTATATCTGAGCTGATAGCATATGGGATGAGTTATCCCTTTGGTCAGTTTGGGTCAGTTGGCCAAGTTTTGTCCCCTCCCAGGATTTTATGCATTCCCAATCTACTATGGGGGAAATGTTGAGAGACAGCACTGATACTCTGCCAGCACTGCTCAGCAGTAGCCAAAGCACTGGTGTGTTAACAACACCTTTCCAGCTATCCATGGACCTATGAAAGCTGCAGTGGGAAAATTAATCCATCTCAGCCAGACTCAATAGAACTATCTTTGTAATGATACACTTGGTAGCAGTAAGTGTTTGAATAGTTCCCATAAAACCAGTCTTTGCTGGTAACACAGTTATGAAATGTTTTCTGAAAGACACAGGAACTGCCTGCCTGAAAGCTGATGACAGCTGAAAGATACATAGCAGGTATTTCTGTCTTTTAGTGCAGTGTAAGAACAATCACCTGTAATTTTTAGCAAATGCTCAAAAAGGTATTTTCCTTATTTGCTCTTTTCACTAGCTTGATGAATTTATTGAGCCCTAAAAGCTTTAAGATTTAAACCCACACATTTGTCATCAAATCCTAGAGGTCCTTTTCCTTTATGTTGTCATGGGAGTAAGGGTACAAGTTGTGTCAATGGCTGGTGGTAGCAGCCTGTCCTCAGCAGCTACTCTTAAGTGGATTTGCAGATCTTGGCATTTCAGGTGTTGGGAAGGGCCCGGGCCCCAGAGAGTACTGTAGTTGTCTGGAGATCCATCATCAAAACAATCAGATCTTCATCTCTGTGCTCAGGTCTGAAGTACAGAGAGCAGAGAAATACAGATAGGAGAGTAAGGTAGCTTTGTTATCAGACCCCTAACTATTTGTGTTCCTTCTGAGGAACTCTTCATGCTTGGTCATGGAATAGACTGTGGTCAGGACATACATAGGTGCATGTGTGGAACAGATCTGATGTGTGACATCAGCAAGTACGTTTCTTCAGAATGAAGGTTCACCAAGCTCTTTCTGTGGAGGATGTGACTGGTTGGGCCTTTGATTTCAACACCAGAAGAGATTTTGTGTCTTGCTTTGCTACAGTGATGAATTGGACTCAAAAGCTGCTCTTAAATAATTAGCTATCTGGAATAAGAATACATATGCTCAGTTATGCATGTAAATCAGTATGAGAGATTTAAATGGAAGGAGCTGGCTTATGTTCATAACATCTAACATCTGTTAGACTTTTCTGAAACTACAATTTTTAGCATACTTTGGGAATGTAGGAACTTGAATATGAATGGATGTATTTAGTGGGTAGCAAAAATGCCGCAAGATCAGCCTTCATTAGTGAGCTAAATGCAGCTTGCTCAGGAGATAGGCTTTCTACTAAACATCTCTAAACATGTCTGTTTCAACTTTTTGCAGCATATTAAACTGAATATGGTTGGGTTCTGACATATTCATATATAAAGAGTGAATTCATAAAGTTAGTAAATCTCTTCCTAGGGACTTGAAGATTTTTTATTATTATTATGGTATATAGGTCATTCTACCCTTAAGTTTTATTCTTGAACTTCTTTTGGTCACTGCTTATAGCGATGTTCCTTCTTGTCCCAATCCCAAAATATTAAAATTCTTCTGCTATTGTATAGATATTCTTGACTTCCTTGACATACTTCCTTGTAGACTGAAATGTTTTCAGTTCACTGGCATTGGAAATATTTTGTTGAGAAGATGAAGCATACCTATGTTAAGCATATTTCAGTAGTTTACCTTCAGAGACTTATTTATTTTTTGTAATCCTAATTATGAGTGGAGTTAATTTTAGTGAGATGTGCTAGATTCATTGGTCCACAGACTGAAAGCTGCTTTCTTCGCAGAAAGCATTTGATGCAGGTAACAGTAGCTCATTTATTTGGCAATGTAGTGTAGCCGTTATGTTCAACTATGCTAATTGAATTTACTAAACAAACAATATAAAGAAATGGAGTGGTATAACACAAAAAACCAGGGAAATCAAAAAGTAATAGTGTGTTATAATACAATCACAGCTATTTGTGTGGCTTACTTCACTTTTTTATGTATGTATGTGGCATGATGGGACAAGTAATGTCAGTTAATGAAATCTTTTTTTGATCTGCAGTATAGAGTGGTCTGCTGTGATAGTGGATGAAGCACACAGAATAAAGAATCCAAAGGCTCAAATAACTCAAACCATGAAGTCACTAAAATGCAGTGTTCGCATAGGTCTTACTGGAACCATTCTTCAAAACAATATGAAGGAACTTTGGTGTGTTATGGACTGGTAAATAAAATATTTTCTTTTGTGGTTTAAAGAACACTCTGTTGTTAACTGTGCAGTGGGGGTAGGGAAAGACTGGATGTGTTATAAAAATACAACAACAAAACACAACCCTCAACCTCAAAATACCTGCTTTTTTGTGAGAATATAACTGTGGTTTTTTTAACACATCTGGGAAGGTAAGCTCGTGGTATTTGAGTTGCTTAATACATTTGGAGTTCATCCCATCTGGTTTCTTTGGGGAATTTGGGAAGAAGTTAAAGTTATTCTTCCTCCACCTCCAATATTACCTTTTTTCCCCCCCCCCCCCAAGGACACTTTTTTTCTTCTGTCCTTTGCCCAGTAGGTAGGAAATCATTACGCAACCTTGACCAGCATAGTGCCTTTGCTCTGTCCAGTATGTGCAGGTCATTCTGACCTACTTGAGAGGATGAAAGTAATAATATTTTGCTTTTTTTCCAAAATGTACAAGTGCGTATATTTGAAAAGTAACAGTCTTGTCCAGAAAAAACTTCAGTGCTCAAGGAGAGATGCAACAATTTGTAGATACAAATCTAAACCTCCTGTGAATGCTTTGCAGAGTAAGAACAAAGCAAACATACTTTAAATATAAGGATATACAGAACAGAAATAGCAGGAAGAAAATTTTAAGCTTAGTGTTGCATCTGGTTCATTTAAATTGTGCTGATGTTGTTAGTAAATTATTCCAATGTGTAATGCTACCAACAGTTACTAAATTCTTTTTACTATTAGGCTTCTCCAGATTTTATTTAGTTAATTGTAATATCTGCATATTCTGATTTCATAAAGCCAGAAAAAATTGAAAGCACAACTGCGTCACTTCCAATTTAGGCTCCTCAATACTAGCAGCCTTGTAGTTTAGAGGTTCTGTATACTTGTGATTTCTGTTGTTCTGCTAAGCTTTTGTTTTTCTTGGGATTGTAACCCTTTTCCTAAGGGATATGTCTTAGCATTTGAGTATCACAAAAAACAAATGAAACATGACATGTCTTAAAATAGTATATGTTGCTATTTGTACTTAAAATTTTTATAGTTTCGCTAGTGACTGCTACGTTAAGATTTCTTGCTGTTAGCCAGAAAAAAAACCAAACTTATAGTATATAGCTTCAAATCAGTGTATCAATCCCCCATCCCCTTTTGTTTTTCAATAGGGCTGTACCAGGACTTTTAGGTAGCAGAGTACATTTCAAGAAGAAATTTTCTGATCCAGTGGAGCACGGCCAGAGGCACACTGCAACTAAAAGAGAGCTAGCAACAGGTCGTAAGGCCATGGTGAAGCTAGCAAGAAAAATGTCTGGCTGCTTTTTGAGACGTACCAAAGCACTTATCAGTGATCAGTTGCCAAAAAAGGAAGACAGAGTAAGAGTTTCTTCACATTTCAAATACAATGCTAATGAACGTATCTCTTCTTTTTTGTTTTCTTGTTGTATTTTCTCTCTTGCATCATGTCTGTGGTTTATGGTTTTCTCTTCATCTTATTCACTTAAGAAGAATTCATATCCCTGGAAAAGTACTACTTCAGCACTTGAAGTAGTATGCTTTGTTCACATAATTACTATGATTGCACATTGAAATGGAGTTAATCAAGCATGAAAACACTTGGCTAATCTGACTAGTGGTTTACATATCTGTTTTAGGTATGTTTTTGTCCTTATTTGCCCAGGCCCAAAGCAATGTAGGTAGATTTCTTGAAATTCTATGTAAAACTTCTGAATTTGCTTTTTGACACTTTGTGTATGGAACAGTATGCTATTAACTCCCTCATTTTTGATCCCAAAATGAAAGAATAATCTCAGACAGGCCGATTCTATGATAGGTTTGTAATCCTGTTCATCTGATGCAATTGTAAATATTATGTGAAGTGATAATACTTTATTGATATAGCTAAGAGTTCTGCTAAATCTTCTGAGTAGACAAGTACATAAGCTGGCAGCTGTTTTTATTTTCAAGATTTGGTATTTTTTCTTCATCCTTTGTTTATAATAATGTCATCTAGGCTGTCTTCTGAAGGAAAGATTAACACAAACGTCAGTCGCTTTTCTGAATCTATCAGGTTTTATTCTGTTCATTATCTTGTTAATGTGAGTATATGTTCAAGTTACTGCTGTATTATTATAGCTCAGCATGGTGCTGCTACTTTGTGGATAGCATAGGTTAAGGAATGATCTTGGGATTTCTGTCTCCTGCTGCTTAAGACTAAAGATGTCATGGAGATGCCACCCATGGTCTTTAAGAAGAGGGGTCAGAGTTTTGGCCGTAGCACTGTGTAGATCCTTGCCTTCTCATTGTTTATTCTGTTTGTCCCACTTGCGGTAGTGCCCTGCAGCAGCTAATGCCTGAAAAGGGGAAAAAAAGGGCAAATTAAGCACCTTGAAAAACAGAGAGAAATTTTTAATTAACATTATGCATTTACTTCTCTCACTTTTCCTTTCTCCTCCTATTCCTTCACAAAAGCCATATTTAAGGTAAGGGTTTTGAGCAAAATAACATCAGTTTCTTGTAGAATGATATTGATATTCTTTTTAGAATTTTGGGGTGGTATGAAATAAGTATGCATACATTTTGGCTACAGTTTCATGCTCTCTTGGTGTCAAAATCCACATTTTTTTTCTCTTGTCGGTAGAATAATTTCCTGTAACTATTTGAGCAAGTGTAGTATTTATTTCTACTTTATTTTCAGTGACCTGTGATTTGTGTTTTTTGATGCAGTGCTTTTTTGACTTTCATTATATGCTGCACATGATAGTGTTTCTTGTATTTTCTCTTTGGCAGATGGTATTTTGTTCCTTAACTGAATTCCAGAAAGCCGTGTACCAGGCTGTGCTAGAGACAGATGATGTAACCTTGGTGTTAAGAGCAGGAGAACCCTGCAGCTGCAATAGTGGCCGGAAAAGGAAGAACTGTTGTTACAAAGTAAGAACTTGTCACTCTTTGGATTTTAGAGTATAGTCTTCTGAATTTCTTGAGAGATTCTCTGCTGATGAAGGGCTGATTGAAATGTTTGCTTAGTTGTAACTCATCTGTTTGGGAAAACCCATCTGGAAACATGGGGAGCTGCATCACCAGCGTGATGGAGTTATGTACTTTGGGGATACTGCAGAACTGCTTTGCATGCCCTGAGCAGGTGATTGTTGCCTATGAAGTAAATTCTGGATCTTTTGTATTATTAAATGCACCTGCGATTTTGTTGATATTGGCAAGGGTACTGCGTTGAGATGTTCAGTATGTGTCAGGTATGCTGCTCCCAGGTGCTTCCCAGGCAGCTTGTGCAGGAGCTGCAAATGGGAGGCACCCTGAACTCAGCAGGTTGCCTGGGCAGTTCTTTCTGTTCTAATTGCAGTTGTGCCTTCCTGTGCCATTGAGCATTCACTTTGCCTTGCTTCATGACGGGAGAATTGTAACAGCACTCACAAAGCACAAGCTGAACTTTGTCTATGAGTAACAGCTTTGCAGATTTCTTCAATCTTCTCTGGACTTCTTTAAAGCTGGATTAGTTTGAATTTGTTTTGCCTACCTCACTCGGTAGACTCAGATTAAGCACAGCTTTTAACATCTTAAACTTTTGAAAGCATATGTCACATGCTTGTTTCTTCCTTTTATGTCTTTGAACTGCTCTGATTCTTGAGTAGTGTTTTGGGGTTTTTTTCCTAATGATGTAGCTTCTTCAGTCTCCTGCATCTTTCTTCATGAGCAATGCGCTTATAATTTTTGTTTAATACTCCATGGATACTAGCCCTCTTTGTAGGCTTTTGTTTCTAGCGATGTTTTGTAGAAAAAAAGAAATGCCAGTGAACTTGATTCACAGAAGTGCAGTAGACAGGCCTGCAGATAGTTGAGTGCTCTTACAGACTGTCTTACTCCAGAGTTAACTGTGAAATTTAGTGACTTGAGAAGCCAAAGGAAAACAAATATCGATCAAGCCAGCCAACCATAACTAGGAACATAGCTGATGAGGTCGTTGCTGTTGCACTGTAGAATGTCTGAAGCTTGAATTACGCTATTTGAGGTGTTTTTAAAGCTTTGTAGGCTTTTGCTAAAGAGAAAAGTAGTTAGCAGTTGAAAGGTAAGAAGTCATTCAAACTGTTCTTGCTTGATTTAATTATTTATAAAGTTACCATCTTCTTGTTTTCTGAAGAGTTCTTTGTTATCTCAGTGTCATGTCTGTAGAAGTTACTATCTGAAATGTTTAGCAAGCAATGAACATAGCTGTAGGGTCTCTTATTGAGAAGACACTTCTGTTAATAGGGTCACAAAACTGCAGGAAAAACAAAACTTAGTTCATTTTTATCGTGCATATGGTATTCATCCCTTGGGGATCAGTTATAGTACTAAGAATTGTTAAGGCATTAAACCTGGTAAGAATAGTATTTATTTGAGATTATTACTTATTTTCAGTAGTATTTGTTTGCATAAACTGGTTTTTTTTTGTAGGTAAATGCACATGGTGAAACAATTAAATCATTGCGCTTCAGTTACCTAATGATCCTACAGAAGGTTGCAAATCATGCTGCACTGCTGCAGATGGACAGCACTAGCAAACTGCAGGTTAGTTTCAGAAGTATCTAAAAAATGGACTTGTGGAAAATGAATGGGTGAAAATTCTTGAATGAAAATTGCTACTGGCCACCTTTTTAAATCTTAACTAACTGCAGTTAAGATATTTTGTGAAATTCCTTTTCCTTTCAGTCATACTGAATGCACACCTTATAAAGATACTAAACAAAACAGCATGCTCATTTATTTGATTCATGTCTGAAAGTAAGGGTTATAAAATACTGAAGAGATTAGGAGGCAGAGTAATTTTTAATGATTTCTAATTCTAAATTTTTGTTACATTTATGAAGAGTGCCTATAAGAGGAATGTCTTTGTGCAAATAAATAATGGGTAATTAGAATAGTTGGTTTTTTTCTCTAGTACTTTATATTAAGAAATGAGTTTGTTTAAATAATGAGAAATACATTTTAGAAGAAATTGCTCAATGAAAGATCATCATCAGTTTATCTGATTGCTATGGCAGGCAACAAGACCGACAAATGGCAATTTAAGAAATGCTTGTTTGTGAGCCTTAAGATCCAGTAATGAGGAAAGGGATTTAGGGATGTTACCACTTTCTCTTAGAATCTACCAAGGAAGAGAAGTGAGAATGTCCTAGCTAATTTTGCAAGTTTATTCTATTAAAGCAATTTTGCTTTTTCAGAAATACTATTTTTAGTGTCCTCTGCATTACACACAGCATACACCGAGACGTCTTCAGTGGGCTTTTATTGTGTATGACATATGTAGTTTTTGTTTTAATAACATTTGATATTTAAATTACCTTTGAAATAACAGAGTACCAGTATTTTATGACTTACAGTCTTCTGTATCATCCATAATTATTAATTTTGCCAAAATCTACTCGAGAAATTAATACTTCATAGTGTTTCTTACCTTGAGTATTGAAGGCCCTTACATGGGTTATTCTTAGGTGAGAGATGTGATCTTTTCTTTCTCTCTGGAAAAGTGGATTTAAAGTGTGAAGTCATGTTTAAGTTCAGAGCTAAATTTAGCAGTTGAGCTTTATGGGGCTTTTGAACAGCTTAAGTGCATTTCCTGCACAGTTTTTGTTGTGGAACAGTGTGTAATTCCCCTACTGGCTTGTTACGCCGGAGGGTCAAGAGAAATGTTGGTGCACAACTGTTGGGTAACGCAAACCTCAAGGCAACAGAATTTTTTGAAACTGACAATTCTGGCCACGAGAAGAAATTTTGAATAAGATCCATGATTTCAGATTAAGAATATCTTTTGTTTTTAAATGAAACAAAGCAAAACACACAGGATATCTTTTATCCAGCAGTTTTGTAGTGAACTAAATTAAAAACCACATAACTGTGCTTGAGATAGTTTGGCAGATCATGTTTTGGCCTGTTTAACTCCTTGCATGCCTTAATACAGCTCTAATTTTTAACATCTGTTGAATCTTTCTGCTTTTCTTTCAGGAAGCACATATCAAACGAGTTTGCAGCCAGGTATTTTCCAGTTTTCCAGATTTTGTGCAGTTAAGCAAGGATGCAGCCTTTGAAACAATTTCAGATCCAAAATATAGTGGAAAAATGAAGGTAAACCTCTTTCTTAGAAGAAAAATAAATATTATTCATAGTAATAGATTTGGCCTATATTATATGGTTATAAGAAAATATGCACCTGATAGTTTTGGGCATTTTAATTATTCTGGTTTATGGTTGATCATACAACAGCAGGTATCTCCTGTTGTGGATCAGTATTTATATGGGCAAAGACTGGATAAGACTAATCTGTGATGCTAAAATTTTCTTCACATGGTGCTAAAATTTTCTGAATGTGAAGTGATTTTAACTTTACATGTTTGATGGTGGACATAGAAATGACCCTTATAGTCAACTATTGTTTCATGAAACCATGGATTCCAGTGACAGTCGGCAATATTTGGCAAAGAAAAGGAAGTAAAACAGAATCACTGTGTGCTTAATGGTTTGTGCACAGCCTCAATTTTGTGTGTAGTTTCAATCTCTCGTCTCAATAGGCATGTGTTAGATTTTGGAAAGATTCAAAGGATGATTCAGAGAAGGGCCACAGGACAGGGGTGATTAGAAACTGTGTGTCAGAAGCAGCCAAGTAGGCTGCGACCATCCAGACTCTAAAGAATATCTTAGGATAAACATGAATGAGAGCTAGACAATGAATAGAATGGAGCTGGTGAAGATGTACTTAGTGCTTACGGACTTTTTGAACCCTTTGGACATTTTGAAAATAATAGTAGTCATGCTAAAGATGACCAAAATAAATGTGTCTAGTATGAATCTGAAAAACTCCTCATCTCAGAATCTGTCTTTCTCTGGTTCCAGAGAGGAACAAAAGATGACAAGATGACATACAGTGTAGATGATGATGATGTTTAATATAGATGAAAAGTATGTCTAATATAGATAATTAAAAAGAAAATCACACTAGTTTTAGTAGTGCTCTGGAGCTGAGAGTACCTGAGGAGTTAGAAGTTATGCAGAATTTTGACTCTCTGTAAAACTGGATATTAATATTTTCTTCTTGGGACTGATGGCAGTGGGAGGACTATGTTGCTGTCGCAGGAATGGCTGTTACCACCTTACTTTATTTGTTACCATTTAAGCAACAACTTTCTTTACTGTTGATACTTTTATGTGAAATGCCTGTATATTAACTTTGTTATATACACTTAGTTGTTTTGAGAAGGTGAAATTGATTATTAAATTAGCTACCAGCAAGTTTTTAATATATAGCTTTAAAAACCAAATCCATCATCTTCAGGAGCTGAATAATTGCTTATGAAGCAATTCTGTTACTGATTATTTTACTGTGACATTATTCACATTACTATTTTACATTTTTGTTATTATTCTATTATATTTAATTATTTTTATTTTTCCATTGCATTCTCCTGGGAAAGCTGGCAACCCATGGCTTGGAAGTGTGCACCCCTTGCCAGATTAGAAATTGCTTGGGTAGCTGAGCCCAGAGAGTGATAATGGATGGTGCCATATCCAGTTGACGTCCAGTCACCAGTGGTGTCCCCCACAGTGGTATCTCAGTGTTGAGGCCAGTCCTGTTTAATATCTTTACTGATGATCTGGATGAGGATATCGAGTCCCTCAGTAGGTTGGTACACGTAAAATGGGTGGGATTGTTGGTCTGTTGTTGGTTAGGAAGGCTCTACAGAGGGATCAGTGGGCCGAGACCAATGGTATGAGGTTCAACAAGACCAAATGCTAGGTCCTGTGTTTGGCCACAACAGCCCCCTGCAGTACTACAAGCTGGGCCAGAGTAGCTGGAAAGCTGCCAGGTGAGAAAGAACATGAGGGTGCTGGCTCATGTCCAACCGTGGGTGGACATGAGCCAGCATTTTGCCCAGGTGGCCAAGAAGGCCAGTGGCATCTTGGTGGCTTGTATCAGAAATTTTGCGTCCAGCAGGATCAGGGAAGTGATTCTTCACCTGTGCCTGGCATTAGTGAGGCCATGGCTTGAGTGCTGTATCCAGTTCTGGGCCTCTCTGGGTCAGAAGGACACTAAGATGTTGCTGGAGTGTGTCCAGAGCAGGGCAAAGGAGCTGTTGAAGGGTCTGGAATGTCAGATTTATGAGGAGCAGCTGAGAGAGCTGGGATTGTTTAGCTCGGAGAAAAGGTCTCCTCTGGGCCTCCTTATTACTCTATACAACTACCTGAAATGAGGTTGTGGTAAGATGCTGTCCTGATTCTGGCCAGAGTTAATTTTGTGCAGTAGCTGTGAGGGGATGGTGCCTGAAGTGGTGCAGGTGTGGCCAAGGGGTTATTCTTGCACAACTCAGGAAGCCAAAAGTGTCCTGAAATGCATCAAAGGAGGTGTGGCCAGCAGGGCAAGAGGTTATTTTCCTCCTCTGCTCCACTCTTGCAGTGTACTGTATCCATCTTTCTTAGCACAAGAGGTATATGGACATTTGGAACAAGTCCAGAGGGGGGCCATGAAGATTGTTGTGGATAGAAAACCTCTTTTATGAGGAAAGGCTGAGGGAGTTGAGGTTGCTGAGTCAGGAGAAGACAAGGCACTTGGGTAATCTTACTGCCACCTTTCACTGATGAAGGAAATCTAAAGAAATCTGAAGGGGGATGTTTTACAGTGACAGGACAAGGGATAAAAGCTTCAAACTGAGTAAGTTTATATTGGATAGCAGGAAGAAATTCTTCACTGTGTGGGTAGTGAGGCACTGGAGCAGGTTCCCTGTAGAAACTGTGGATGCCTCATTCCTGGAAGTGTTCAAGACCAGTTAGGATGGGGCTTTGAATCTAGTAGGTGGCATCCCTGCCCATGGTGGCATGATTTGAAACTAAATGATCTTTAGCCCAAACTGTTGTATGATTCAGTGATCTTTGTGCCTGGAAGGAAGATAATGGGTTATATAGCTATCGTGGAAAATAAGCTGGGTTTTGGGTCCGTTAAGTTTAACTGGTTCATACCTTTGTGGTGTGGTGACTTGCTTTTTTGTTTTCTATTCTGAATATGGAAGCTCTTTGTGATGATTTTGCATTTTATACTGTGAAAGCAAAATGACTCAGGAAGTATTAATTTAGAAAGTTGTCTTACCATAAGAATGTAATCAGAGAAGAGCTTGGTTCTAGAGCTTGGAAATGGGTTTATCAATTTTCAGTGTGTTTATTTGGAAATAACTGAGACAAATGATAGTAAAATGTTTTTAATAACCTTGTAGCACTGTACGACTTTGCATTTCCTGTTCTGTAGATAAATTCTAGAAACTAATTGAAATTCTTTTGTAACTTTTATCTGGTAGTGTAGACTGAGTAAGTATTACTTTATCTTTCAATTTAAAATTCAGTACAAACTACACAGAAATTTTGGTACAGGCGATTATTCTTTTGGGATAAGTATAGTTGAAAAGGAATAGTTTGTGGTGTTCTTTAAAAAATTATTCAGGGAAAGGGGCAAGGCCGTGGTTTTGGTTTGTTTGTTTTTTTTAATTAAATTTTTAGCTAAGCAGCTGTTTTGCAGAGTTGAAAAGGTTCCCTCTGCACAATGTATCTGTTCTCCAGCCAAACAGAGATAAAACTCAAGGAAACATTCTGTTATGGGACATGAATTGATTCCACCAGTGAAACCAGTTTTGCTTGTATGCAAGAGTTAAAGAGTGGCCTGTATGTGGTGTTTGTGTCCTACCTGTTCCTGTGGCTGCAGTCATCTCTCCGTGTTTTGCAAGCTGTATCATTAACAGCATGCCACCCCAGGTTTTCTGTTCTGAGTTTCGTACTACAACAAGAGCCTGGAAAAAACAGTCCCTACAGTCCAAATGTACAACATGTATAACCATTGATGGTGTACCTGATATGGTGTAATGAGGACACTAATATATCTGTGTTACTGCGGGAGGTGGATAATTCACAGCTTTTTTTGTGAAATTATCCCCTCCTTTTCATTCGTACTGCAGAAAATACAGTTTTCAAGCTTGCTGACACATTTTATTAACAAGTGAATTTCATGCTTAGGTTTTTAAATAGAAGTAGTTGAATATATGAGATCTGAGTGAAAGGAGTGTCCTGCTTTGTTTGGAAATCACCATTTTTCTGTCATGATGTAAGATAGTGCGGACCTGCAAAGTGTAAGGACAAGTGGTTCATTGCTTCTGAAACACAGTGATTTCAGATTGTCCAAACAGAAATATTGAGGAATGCTTGGAAAAGAAGATGAGCAAAAATAGCTTTACAATCATGCAGTAATCTTCATTCATACTACCTTGTTTGATTATTTCTACAGTTTTTTAACTGTACACATTTCCACAGACATCCATTTGAGGGGTTTTGGAATACAGTTCTTAATACAAATCTCTTAGGAATAACTGTTGTATTGATTTAATTATTTTTGCTTGAGATATCATCATTCAGTAGGAAAATGGAAGTCTGTTGGAGCAGTTTGCAGGAAATGGTAACCTCTACCATTAAACATAACCCTGACCCAGGCAGGCCTGGCTTTGAAGGGTTAAAAAACCTGTAGGCTAACTTGAGCATCTCTAGAGAAAAAGATATTCTCAAACCAAGAGGTAAAATTTCATCACTTACAGACTACTCACCATGTGTAGCAATGTGGAGATGTACATTGAAATCTGTGTGGACTCTTGAAAAGAAAATGTGACTTCTCCTGGAGTATAATCAAGTATTTCTGTTTAGGACTAAGAACATACAGGATAATATTCAGGTGCACAAGCTGGAATTTACTTCTCTTTGGTGCAAAAGCATTCATTACTTTTCCCTGTTAGAGTGTTTCTTACTCCCAAATACTTAAATTCCCAATGGGAAATGAAATTGATCCATTTTATTTAAGCAAATTGTGTGGATTTATTTTTTTATTCTCCTATAGGAAATTCACTATTTGACCTGTACTTTAATAACAACAATAGCACAGAAGCTAATTCCTTCTGGTTTAAAAGAATGTCACTTCTCTTTCTTTTCTTAATGTGGCTAAATAAAATGCAAATCTAAGTAGTATGGCTCATGTTAAATTTCCTGTTGTGTATTTTTTTCCCCAGGAAAATAAATCCTAGTTTATATGTTCATATACAACGAAACGAGGCCAAAAAATCTGTCATTTGTAGCTTGTTTTCACTTGTAACAAGCTGGCTAACATTTACTAAGGAGCTCATAGGTGACGTATGATTACCATTTTATGTTTTAGATAATGTCTAGAATTGTGACATTAATACAAACATTCATCATTATTTGATTGTCAAGGATTTATAAGGCTTGTAGTGAAATAGCTCTTGATTAACAGTTTATCAGTTTATCAGTGAACAAATAAAATTTCAAAATATTTATTGACCAGTGGGAAAAAGCTACAGTCATGGTACAGAAAATTCCTCTTTTCCCAGTGTGTATAGCTTCTGCACAGTGCTCTGGAGCTGCCACTGCCAGATGTGGACATGCTTCTTTTGAAAATAACAGTATCACTATTATACACAAGGCTCTGGATTATTTGTTTCCCCACCAGAAGAACATTGTGTGTGGGCGGATTACTGGCATTTCAAGGTCTGTGCAGAGTCTGGGAAGCTGGATCCTACTGTAAACAGAGCAACAGATGAGAGTGGGAGCAGGGAGGGGCATACATCTCACTGATTATTTTAAGAAGACAAGTTCCAAGAAACTCTGAACTCAGATGCAGGACAAAAAGTTTAAACAGATCTTGGAGTTTTCAGGATAAATGTGTGCATTTTTTAATGAAGAACTCAGAATCTGAGCTAGTGTATGACATAAGAAACGTTTTGTTGCAGTCTGTGCACTGACACAAATAGCTTCTGAATCTATCTCTTAGTGGTCTGATGACCTTTTCATATTAGGGTTTCCATGTGCACCATTGAAAAATGCAAAGTTCCAGCATCTCCATTACCTTTGGCCTATTTATTATATTAGTAAGGATTTTAGTTATGGCTCTTTTTGCCTTTGCAAATACTTAAGTACAGTATAGCCTGTTTGGAGGTTGAAAGCATGAGTGTTTGTGAGATGACCTGTAGATAAAAATTTCTTCATTTTTCTGCTTCTGGTTCATTTACAGGTCCTTCAGCAGCTTTTAAATCACTTCCGAAAAAATAAGGATAAAGTTCTTCTTTTCTCCTTTTCTACAAAGGTGAGCTCCATGTGATTTTTATCAGTTAACTGCAGCAGTGAGTTCTGAAGCATGAATCTGAAAGTTGACACCTTGTCAACCACATTTCCTTATTGCTTATACTGTGAGGAGTAATTATGAAGACAGAGTGCTGTACCACAGGCATATTGAAACCTTATTTTACCTCATGATAAAAATGGTGATAGCAAAAGAAGTTTAACACTCTTCTGCTTTCCCTAGCTGTGTTCAACTGCTATGTCTTAAATTAGAGCACTGTCACAGCTCAGTATGACTGCCATATCATAAAACCTTTGTGTTAGTGCCGAAAGTTAAGTTTCCTCATTCTGCTGGCATTTGATCATCGTCATTAATGAAACTTCAATTCGTGCTACATTAGCTGATTTGAACTTAAAACTATCTAATTGGAGCAAGACATATATGTACATTTTACTTTTAAGGTACTTGCTCCTTGGTTTCCTTATTGGGGAATAACATGTTTCCTGAAATAGCACACTCTATAGTATTGGTGCTTTTTATTTAAGTATTTCTAATCATAGTACTAAAAGCTATTTAAAAAAATAGTAATTTGAGTGGTAGTTCAGGAGTCTTAAATGGTTCCTTTTTTTCGGCTTTAAGAAGGAATGCAAGTTTAACGTTAGGATGCAGTAGTAAAGTTCTCATATGTCTTAGGCCTATGTTTTATGTCATCCAGTACCACCAGACTAGTTACTGCAGTCTCTTTCACTCCATGCTCCTGAACTCTGACTGTGCACTCTGTACTGGCTGTGGGGCTTATTTACTGTATTTCAAGTAATTGAAGCTTGCTAAGGTGGGAGGAAGCTGCTTAAATTAACTGCCTGCTGACTGGGTTGTATTGAGGACAGTTAGAGATGAAACAGGCAGCCAGGGTTGGATGATGGAGTCAGATTTCAACAGACTTTAATCACTTTGAGTGCTGTAGAATCATGACTGAAGAGAATCACGAATGTTGATATCAAAATGGCAAAGATTTACTGTTATTAGCAATGGATGGTGTACTGAAAATATATTTGATAAACATGGCCCCTGTGATCATGTTTAATTAAAAGATGCTATTAAGTACTTCACTTTTTCTTTTTTTCTTCATTTTTCCACTCAGTTGCTAGATGTGCTGGAACAGTACTGCATGGCATCCGGGCTAGATTACCGAAGACTTGATGGAAATACAAAATCAGAAGATAGGATCAGAATAGTGAGGGAGTTCAACAGCATTCAGGAAATTAACATATGTCTTGTATCTACAATGTAAGAAAATTTAACTTGTCATTTGTTTAAATATGTCTGTCTAGTGTAAAATGGTTACTCTGCATTTTTCTTGCTGAGTGTGTAAGGGATTACTTTTTGAGAAAGTGAAAGTAAGTATAGACTTACTGCTTTGGTCTGAAGCTTCTTAAAATATATAGACACCTTCTCCCTTCCCCCTTCCTGCTTCATGAGAATTTCTAAAATCAGAAAGAAGTAGATCTTCTGGATCCTAGTTTTAAATTTCTGGTCGTTGTAGGTTTGAGGAAACAGTTTTAAACACTATTATTATAACATTATTATTATGTCATTATCTACAAAAGGCCTTTAATTTTATTGTAGACAGATTCAGCTTCTTGTGTTCTACTAGTAGAACTAGCAAGTGAGTATGAACATGAAATGCCATATTGAACTGGAAAATTCTCTCACTATTACTGCACTTTATTAATCATGTCAATTAGCTAGCATGTCTATTTAAAATGTTTCAACAAGGACTTTGATTGTCCTTTTAAAATGTATTTACCTGTCAGATTTGCTTTATGATGGATAAAAAATTATTTTGAAGTAGATTATTATGTTCAACTAAAGTTATTGTTACTACAATGACTGTTTATTTGTTTTGTTCATGTTACTTCCACAGTTCATCTTGGATAAGTTTTTTACTGGGCAAGGGCAGAAAAGGAGCAAAGAGAAGTTTTGCTCCTTTTGCCTCCTACCCAGAGGGGAAAATTCAGTGAAACTTGATAAAATATTGTTGAATATACAGTCACTGTAGTTCTTCTTCACTGGAAGGGGGTATGATGGAGTACACACTACCTCCATTTAACTAAAGTCAGATGTCATCTTAAAGGCTGTTGCAGGTGGATGTCAGAGCAGTCTTCAAATACTCTTGTTTAGGAATAGGGTTGTGAAGAGATTTGTGATACTGGTCATGTACATTAGCTTGTTATCTGTCAACTGTGGAATCTGGCCATTGGCTTCTCCAAGACCTCCATGAGTCCATACCCCTTCTCCCTGAAGAGAGAGGGAAATTTCAGAATCTGTAGCATTAGGAAGGACTAATTTTTGCTTCAGTCAGTACTGTAATCATAGCCTTGTTAGTTCTCTTTCATTAACTTACATCAAAATAAAAGTGAAGGTCAGCTAAACAGAGAGGACTTTCTCCTGTTTTGAAAGCTTGTGTATAGACACTAGTGAGCCTTATCTGCCTGCTGATGGTGCTGGAGAAAATTCTGGTTTTTGATAGTTTTACTTACCTTACAAAATATGTGAAAGGAACAAACCATAATGGAATTACAGTCAATATAACAAGTGTCTTGTAAGCAAAACAGAGGGTGCCGTTGTTTCCCTAGTTTATTACAGATAACAGGAAGTGATCTCTTTTCCTTGCTTGATTCACAGTAATGGAAACATCTTTACAGTTGTAATCCTTTGGAAATTAAAAAGTGATTTATCTTCTACTGTACAAGAGATTTAATCTTTCCTCTCACTCAGGTTTCAGGCATATGTACAATAATAATACTCTTTAGAGTACATTCTGTGTTTTTCAATACAGAGTACATTGACTGAATTGGTTCATACTCTTCTATCTGTATCTTCTTGCAAAGTTTCTGATGACTGTTCTGTGTAATCAACTTATATGTGTTCTGAAGGTCTCATTACTCAGAGAGCCAAGTGTTGATTTTCACTGAAAATACTTGCGCAGTCTTTTGGATGTGTAAGTGCATTCTGCATAGGATTAATGCATAGGACTCTGCATAGTAATCTTGAGACTGTTGTTATGTTCACTGGCACAATTAACGTGCACCTTATAAAACATAAAGCACCAATCAGAGAATTAGTGTAGCAGTGATGATCCTTTAATCATCTGTTAAATTTACAGTGTTCCTATTTATATTCCTTTTTTTCCAAAATGTTGTTTCTCCCTGAATTTGCGTATATATATATACCATAGAGTTTTGAGATTTGACCTCAAGTTTTACAGTTAATATTGGTACCAAGCATAGTCATATGGCTATCCCTAATGCTTTTATTGACAGCTGTGATTAATACAGCTTTATGGATAAATATATTTTATAGGTGTTAAGAGAAAGTGTAATTGATTTCTTCAGAGCTTGTACATTTCATCAAACCATTGGTTCATGAATTTCAGGTTGAACACTAGGGAAAAATAAGTATACCCCTGTTGGAACTTCTAAGTCTCATGAAGTAATACCTGTTTGAGAATACTTCAGTCCTGCACTGGTGTTGGAAAATGCATGATTATTTAGAAGAAGAGAAGAGAAATTTTAGGCATGCTTAGAAACATTAAAATAATTCCTGGAGTTGGTGTAACTCGACAGGAGAATATCAAAGATTTCAATACCAGTGATGCTGCTTAGCCATAAGAAGGGAAACTATATGTACAGCACCAAAGTCAGCACAGTTCTGTCCTGTCTTAGTGTTCGGGAATAAATAAAAGCAGTAAGTATGCCTGCCTTTAAATCAATCTTTCTGGAGTCTCCTGTTCTAGTCTTTCTCTAGACTTATTCTGTCGGAATTGTTAATGAGAATCTATTTCTGCTTCTTAGTTTTCTTTTATGTAAAGAGAAGTGTCTAGAGAAATTTGTAGGTAGTTTTTATCATGAAAGGTTGAATATCCACTTCCATTCTACCTGCAGCATTCTCTATTACTGTCTATTAGTGGACTGCTGTTTGTTACATTTTCCTTTTACAAGGCTTTATTTAGCTTTAATTCTTTCACAGCAATGTTTTGAACAACTTTTAGTGTGCATATGATAACATTCAAAGAACTTTCTGCCACAAAATCTCTCTGAAACAAAGAGCATAGAAACTTCAGAAACCTAGCTTGGTAAACAGAATTATATTAAGCTTTATAGAACCTTTACTAATGTAGTATTGTTCTGTACCTTTTGAAATATTGAGTTGTGCAGTTTTAAGGAAGACGATCTTCTGAAAACTGTTCTTTTGTAAACAAAAGTTTCTTTATTTAAACCATACCATAATAATTTGCATGTACCAAATTCCAGTAATAACTAGCATCTAGTTAAAGTGAAAAGTAAAATGGAGGACATAACTTACAATGCACAAACTACTGCATTTCTTCTGTCTGTGAAGGATATAGGAGCAATTATTTTCTGGTTTGGACTAATTCAATTTTTGGGTCATACCTAAAAACATTGAAAGATAAAATTATTATAAAGCTAGGTATCCTGGTTTTTTAATTTTTATGGACAGCTCATGTTGATTACATCATGACTTACATTTCAGTTGAACTGCAGGGCTGGTTTGGAAAGATGAGAGGCTTACTAAAAATGAGGGGTTTTTTTATTAAAAAGAAACACACTAAATTACAAAAATACCATAATGTATTCTAAAAAAAAGAACCCAACCCAAATATTGTTGTTCAGTATTTCACAGTTTGAGAATCTGAATCTTCTGGAAACATCCATTAATATTAGCAGGTTTCCATATCCCCTCCCTTTCCAGATAAAATTAACCCAAAGCTAGACCTTACTTAGAAGGAAAAGGCCACACCTGCGTTTATGTTGACATGGATTCCATGAAAACCAAAAAGTGGTGTGACTTCATAAGTTTTTAGTTTCTGTCTCCATTCACTCGTATACCTGAAAACGTTACCTTTTTCGTTGACTTCAAACAAACAAAATTTAAAGTAATCTGTTAAACCAGGTGCTTGTTAAATTAAATGGGATTGACTTTTTCAATTTTGCAGTACCTCTTTCAGAAACATAACACACTTGAAGTTAGTGATGCCTATGCCAATGTGAATAATTGCTTTAATTGTTTACTTAATAATAGTATTTAGCATGTGCTTGTGTAGCAACTTGTCTCTCGTACGATAATTGGTTGAGCCAGTCAAAAAAAAATTTGAGTATTTGCTTGCTTTGCAGCTGGATGAGAAGCAGTGTTTTCCTCACTTTTGCTCTTGTCAAATCATTCATGTCTGCACATGCCAAACTCCAAGTAACTGAGCAGTTTTTTTGGGTTCAGCAGTTAGCTGCCTCAGGTTAGATATATGTTCAGTATCTTCTCTGGCTTGCAGATTTTACCTGAAAACACTCTACAGCTGTTGAGTGTTACAAGATGATGCAGCTGGTACTCCTGTGACTCCTAACCTCCAGAGCAGACGCATTTCTGCTGTGACTTTTTTCCTTTTAATGACAGATCCAAATGTTGATCACATGCAGCTGTGTGGCCAACTGCTTTTTTAATAGCTGAGTAACTTGCTGTACAAATACACTTGTGTCGGTTGTTAGTGCTTACAGGTATGACTTACCTGAGATTGTGACCATCTTAATGGAAGCTGCATAGCATTGTTGTCAAAAACTGTGTCCTGGGATTAGAGGGAGTAAAATTTCACTTGTAGTTTTTCTGCTTCCATAATGTTAACTGGCATAAAACTGGTTTTGAATTTCATTATAGTATTTGAGGGTGTTGTCTTGTGTAAGACTTAATGGGAATGAAGTAGGGATTTTTACTAGGTAAGTTGATAGCAGTTACTTATGACTCAACTGTTCATATAGTCTGTAACAATCCTAATATATAGATGATAAAACTGCATTTTATGGCAGTGGTTATTTGAGTACTTGGTGGTTATTAGTACAATAGCAAATTTGTACAAAGCTGTACTGTACTGTTTTCAGTATCTTTAATGTGTTTTTTTTTAAGTTGGGGAAGGGTAGTCAAATACGGACCTAATACAGAACTATCTAGTTGCAGGTTTTTTCTATCATATAGTTCTGGTTTTTTATTTTTGTTTTCAGGGCTGGTGGACTGGGTCTTAATTTTGTTGGTGCCAATGTTGTTATACTGTTTGATCCTACATGGAATCCAGCAAATGATCTTCAAGCTATTGACAGGTACACTCTGAAAATACAGAACTTGATCCATGTTGTACTCTTGCATTCATTCTGTAATCCGACTGTTCAACTATAACTTTTCCTCAATTAAGAATTTTTTTACATTGTCTGATTCATCCACAAGACAATAGGAAAAGTCCAACTTAAATTAGCTTTTAGCTCTTTTGGGATTATTTTTAACCCTAAATTTTGCAATTTATTTTCCCTTATTTCTTTTTTGTGGCAGTGAGCCTAAAAAAACACAACAAAAATTCCTTGTAGTTACTATAACTTTTTGCGATCTCTAGAATATGTGTGTGTAGATGACATCTTTCTTGTGTTTTTAATGAAGAATACATTGTAGTTGACCCTAGTTCAAATCATGTTTTGAATTCCAAAACCCTAAAAGACACAGGGCCTCTTTTTGTTCTCTTCTGCTTCACTGTTGTGGAGATTAGTGTCTTTTTAGCACTCACATCTATCTCTGATATTATGGTTTTGGAGTATTTCCAGTAATACAGATTTTTCTTTGAAGGCTTTTTGACTGTAGGATATTTCCCTAGGAATCCAAGGCAGACCTCTTAGTAGCTAAAGTAAAGAATATTAAAAATCTATAAAAAATATTAAAACCATATAAAAGTGTATTAAAAATTCAGTAGATTTATGTACTTTTCATGAGCAGAAATACATTTGTTTCTGTTATCTCATGCAATTATGTAATTCTGTTTTAAGGGGCTTTCTGATTTCTAGGATGTGTTTGGTGCATCTGTTCTAGAGAAATATATCAGAAACATACATTGGGGACTATCAGAAACATGTATTGGGGACTATCTTTGAAGAATCTTTGTAAGATCATGTTACTATGAATTGTTTTAGGCTCCTGTGAGTTTTGTGGAGTATAGTCTATTAGAAGTCTCAGAATTTACCATTTGAATAAAACCGTGCCAGTTCATTAGCTGTTTTTATGATGTTGTATCTTGTAAAGTGATTTATAAAGTTAAGAAAGGACACCTCCAAGTAATCCACGGGTTAATTCCTGTAAAATGGAAATAGGAGAATATTTTGAGAAGAAGTAGATGGAGACATGGAGGGAAAAAAAATGCCAAACAGACCTGAGATAAATAGAGTGGATATGTTTTCTGGAGAGGTAGGAGGCAGTTTTTGTGTTATAAAATGATGAAAAAGTTTTTTTAAACTGGATAGACCTGGGGAGAAATATGAAATACTAAAGGAAAAGGAAAGGAATTGCTGAGTAAAATTTGGAAAAGTAAACAACCCAGTCAACATATGCATGGTTTTGAATAGTCCTGTTTTATTATAATGCTTTTATATATTTAGTTTGCTTATTGTTTATTGCTACCCCTAAGAGCTCTCTTTTCTTAGACTCTTTTTAATGTCCTTGCCATATCCTTGCAGAGCTTATAGAATTGGCCAACACAGAGCTGTTAAAGTGTTTAGATTGATATCCTTGGGAACTGTGGAAGAGATGATGTACTTGCGACAAGTTTATAAACAGGTAAAGCTCACAAACTGTTTAAATGGGGACCTCTTCCTAGAAATTTCAGGGAGTGAAAGCTAATCTAGCCTATAGTAAAATTGTAATTTACTTTGCGTCTATGGTATATGATGTTAGCTTACTAAGCAAAGGTGCATCATTTTAGCAATTGTTAAAAGAATGGAACAGAATTATCTTTGTAGTCAAGTTTTCCTGTAACTACTGACAGTTTAATTATGCAATGTGCATTATTCAGGTTATACAGAGAATTGTTTTTATTTTTAAAGTACAACTGTGATAGTTGTAGTTAGTATCTGCAGCAGTCTGATTCAGGCAGCTTTTTCTCATCAAAGTCTGGAGAAAGTGAAGCAGAAATCTTGTTGATGCTATAGAAGAAAAGCAAGAAGCATTGCAACTTTCCTGATTCTATAAATTATTGTATAAAAGGAGAGGGAATTGTTGTGGGCTCTGATAAGGAGATGAGAAGTGATGCTGCTTACTGAACACTCAGCCTGGGTTACTTGTGCTTTCTAGATTTTTCGACTTGTGTTGATAGGCTTTATCATGGTTATAGCTATGACAGGGCTAATTTTTGCAGTAGCCAGAAGGGGGCATGGCCAGGGCCTGAAAGTTACTCAAATTCCACCACCTGACATTTTTCGAGAACTGGGGCAATGGTCTCCTCTGGGTTGTGTAGCATGGTGGAGGGAGAGGTTGGGGGTTTTCAAGTAGTGACCACTAAATTGGGGAATATCATTCCTAAACCATGACAGGCTTAAGTATCTAAGATAAGGGAAAGAAAAGTGTGGGGTTTGCGGAACACATACCTAGGAACTGTTTCCTGATGATATCGGAATTGAAACAAAAAATAAGCAAACTCAAACATGATCAGCATAAAGCAGGCTACGGAATAGTAGGAAACTAAAAGAAGTATGAACGTGTTTTTCTCAACAAAAGTTTCAAGTTAAGAAATCAGACAATTGATTTTTTCCCATTTCTGACATTGCATGTAAACTTGGAGCAAGGAAGAAAACCATTGGGATACAGTTGTCCTGAAGAATGCATTGCATAGAAAAGATAAAAGTAGGTCACCTCTGTGGGAGAATGATACTATATATTGAAGAAAACGTCATTAGACTTAAGGAATTATCCTAGAAATTTGGAATTTTGTCCATAAAAATGAAAAGTTGTTAATGAGTCTTCAGTGATAAGCACTTGTTAGCTGGGTTGTTTACAAGGAGGAAGTTGGAGGCTGAATGAGTGGGAAATGCAGCAGTAAAGGGATTGTCATTATACTTCTAAGATCTGAATAAGTGACAAAATAAGGTTTTAAAGTCATCTGATTTCACAGAGCAATAGTCATAAGATAAATATATCCTCAGGATGATCAAATCTTGATCTGCTGTTATGTAATGAGAGTGGTTTGCATTAAGATACTACTTCTGGGAGTGTAAGAGGGACTTTTCTGTCACTTAAAGTCAGTGTTTTGTAAAATCCAGAAAGCCTTTGAGTTCTGTTTATTTTTGATAAAATTATCTAAATAAGAAAGTGGAAACTTAAGGAAAAATCAAAAGAAGTAGGTGATGGGCTGAACAGGTAATGGGGAAATTTGCAGAGATTCTGTCAGAAGCTCAGAATAAGACCTTTCAGTAGTTGAAATAATAAACTAGAAAGGCAAGTTAAATATAACACATGGTAAGTCCTAAAACAGTATTTGAGGGACAGTGGTCTGAAAACATTAAAGCTAATAGTTTAGTTCTTTAACACATCATGAGCATAAACTGTCCAGCTCTATGAACATTAGTAAGGTTTGAAAGAGTGTTCATTGCAAAGAAACTTCGAAACTTTATTGTTTACATGTACATTCATGGAAAAGCTTAGAGAGGATCCTGTTGTCTTGTGCAAAATACTGTTGAGGATTCCTTTAAACAGCAAGTATCAATAGGTGAAGTCTCAGAAAGTCTCAGGCTAAGAAAATGAGCAATAGCAGATTACAACCAACTCTATTCAATAAAATCCTAAAGAAGGGGAACCTGCTTTGTAGAGATCTTTGGAGATGGTGATCTCTTAGAAAAAGAAGACTTGGATATTGTCTGTTTGGAATTCCAAAAGGCATGTATAAGTATTGAAAGGACATATAAATCTTTTTTTTTTCTTTTTTTCTCCTTCCTCCATCTTTCTTGGTCTTTCTTTCTTCCTCCTTTTTTCCTTTTTTTTTTTTTTTGACTTTCATTTTTCAAGTCGAATAAGCAGCAATAAACAGAGTAATTATAAGTCTGAGGGCTGGGGTTTTTTTGGCTATACTTGTATTGCTTTCCCTTATCAAGTAAATGTACAGTGCAAAGGAAGGTGAAAAAAATGCTAGTAATTTAGTGTAATGGAAGCTGAGCTGTCAAGATACAGGGGAGTGTAAGTGTTATGTATAGGGGGGCCTGATAATAGGCAACAATGCAGTAGAAGTCTTCGAATATTCTATTTTTTTTTTAATTCAATAAAGCCAAGCAGGTTCATATTATACAAAATCTATTATACCAATATCTGCCTGGGAAATTAAAACAAAATATCCTCTCTTAGGAATTTCTTCTTGTTCCAGCTAAAGCTGTGTATATAATGTGGGTGCCAGGAAATTCTGATGTGTTGTTGTAGCAAACACTTCTGAAATCTCTTGTGTTGCTCTGTTTTAGCAACTTCACTGTGCAGTGATTGGAACGGAAAATGCCAGGCGGTATTTCGAGGCAGTGCAAGGATCAAAGGAACATCAAGGAGAGCTTTTTGGGATTCATAACCTTTTCAAACTTAGGACTCATGGGTCCTGTCTTACCAAAGAGATACTGGAGGTGTGAAGTACTACCCTTTTACTTTTGGATATTAGTTTTAAATTCTTCCTTTCTTGATGAGACTTTTTGGTCATTGTTTCGAATGGAAACAGTATAAAACAGAATGGTGAAACTTAATGAATACTTGTCTGTGCAGTGAAATGAATGAATGAAATGATTAAATGATATAGGTATGCTAATTACTCATTCTGATACAGACCAGATACATTTCTCCAAATCCAAGAATGGAAAAAGCTTGGATTATAATTTTCATAAGTTTCCTATATATTTTTTGTGTAAAAACTACATTACTTATTCTTTGATACTTTCATGAAACTTTGTGCACAGATACCTTTTATTCATCAGTAACGCAGACTGACCTTTTAAGCCAGAATTCTTACCATAAAAATATCTTTTATGATCACATTAACCTCTTTAGAGTACTTTCTGCAATGTCAGTAACTGTTTAAAAAAGATGTTTGCTGCAGCTAGCTTACATTTTCAAATTTACTGCAGCTTTATTCCGTGTTTCTTTTTCTTTCCATCCTTCCCTTTATTCTGTTATTTTTCCTCTGTTAGGGATTTAGTCTGGCCCTTGCTGATTCTATTTTTGGTGCTTCCTGTGCTTGTCTTTGTGTGTAATAAAAATGGTATCTATTTATGTTATGTTTTGATTCCTTCAGAGGGAAGGACAGGTAGAAGC